CCTCTCGCTGGGCCAGTGAATGAAAGAAAGTGAGATCATCATACCAGGATGGTGTTCCAGATCCCAGGCTGTCCTGCCTGAGTTCTTATACCTTGTTTTCTGGGGGTTAATAATAAAGAGAGCCGTCCAAAAGAGGCAAGCCAAAACCAACAGGAGTCATTCCATGGAAGATCTGCCGGCAGAGAGTCCATATTGTAGTGCTTCTCTCTGGATCCTCAGGCTACAGACATTCTCCAATAAAACAATGCCACGGGAATGAATGCTGCTGGTTAACAGAGATGTTACTAGCTATTCAGAGGTGTTGTGTGAGAGTTGGGATGGAATGTCAATCCATCCATGCCTCCAAAGCTATCAAAATTCTCTCACAACAGCCTGAGATACAACAGGAAAAAAAATTGAGCTGTGATCATAAAAAATTATAGGTATAACAACCAGAATCTCAAGGAATTCATTCTAGGATGATGGAGAGCAGCAAACGATGATGACTACCTAAACAATGGAAGGTTAAGCAAAATGCTTCTCCCTCAGTCAAGAAGAGAGCACTGCTTTTGTTAAGATGCTTTGGTATACACACTACTTGGAAGCAATTGTTTTATTCCCAAGAAGGGCTATTCTGTTTATGAAGAAAAAAAGGCATTTGGGGTTTGCAACAGAATATATGGCGTTTTTCAAAATCCAACTGTCATGTGCTGAACAAAAAATGCCTGTTGTCTATTGACTCTCTCCTAAGAGAGAAAATCTTTGTCTATCAGGATCTGGAATATTAAACTGGTAGTGAGCCTGCATTCAAGAATATTCATTGAGCTCCTGAGATAGTGTTAGGATCCCGAACTGTAGATTTGAATTAGACATGGCTGTTTCCTTAAAAATTGTACAGCCTAGTGGGAGAGGGACTGCTCATTTGAATATAATATGTTCTCAGAGTAGAGAGAAGGTCAATGAAGCAAACTATAGAAAGTAGGGGCACAGATGGTCTAGGGAGATGTTGACTGGTGAAACGAATAGTTTCGAAGAACAAGTATGAGTCGATTAAGGGGAGAAAGATGTAAATGAGTTTTCAGGCAAAGAAAATAGCACGATCAAAGGAAATTTAAGTTTCCCAATAAAAATATCCAACTAGAGCAGGGCCTTGTCATATGACCACAAAGAATTCAGAAGGAAAAGCAATTCAAGAGATATTCATTGAAGACAGCTTATATTTTTGTATTAAAAAAAATCTATTTCTTAGGTGTTAACATGTAAAGCTCTAGGAAAAAAAATGTGGTTATTGCCATAAGGGAAAATGCATGCCTTTGATTTTTCTAGTTTAAAGAAACTCATCTCTTCTTTGAAAATTTTGCCTATGTCTTTCTTCTGGCTTGATCTTTGTTTTCCTTTCTTTTCATTCTCCACCTCCTACTCATAGTTTTGTGTGTGTTAAAATCGCTGTTATAGATCTTTCTTCACATATTCTCTTGCTAATCGTAATTCAAAACATATATACACACATTTACACACACATGTGCACACATACAGACACTTTCCTCACATGAAAATCCCATAGGTTGGACTTTAGGAGTATTTTATTACATTAGTTAAGACAGCAACCTTATACTGAAAAATTTCATTTTGTAGACCAATGCTAAAGATGATTTACTATTACACCCTTACCCAGTTAACACATGAAATATTATTCCTCTGTTTTTATTTTTTTAAGAAATCCTAACAAATATAGATATTTAAATATAGCATTTGGGGCTTTGGGTTTGCAAAGAATGAGTAGAAAAATATCCAGAGATGGCGCTTCACATATATTTCACGCTCATGTGTGATAAAGTCCTTTGCCCACTAGCATTTTTAGATGACATTAAAGTCTAAGACTTCACAAGGTTAGTTTTTATCTGACCTGAATGTCAAATTAGAGGCTAGACACCCAATATATATTACTCACTTGGATTTTCTTTCCCCTGTGAGTTTCTTTTAATATTCTAACATTATCAGTCAAACAGCAATTCGGTCTTCCGGCCTTTTACAGGCAGTCATTTACTTCCTCTAGAATCTGTGTAGTAGAGTTCAGCATTTCCCTCCAAGCACCAAAGAAGTGCTTTAACTACTACAATTAAATGTCAAGACACTAAAGACTCCTTGTTCTTAGAGAGGGAGGACCTCACCATGATAGGTGACTTGTCTCATCGAAACACAGCAGGCTTCCACTTAGGCCTGAGGGGAGATTATGACTTAAAAACTCAGAAGGATCAAAGGCAAATCTGATTGGCCTTGAAGAAGGCGGCAAGGAAGCAGTAAGGAAGGAAAAAATGAAAAGCCTTTGCCTTGTATTCCATCTCTTTGGAATTGTGCCTTTAGGAAAATATTGGGAGAAAAAGCTTTGAATGCGAACCACCTAAGCTCTTGGCTATGTGTTCAGAGTCCAGCTTTGAACAGCTTTTGAGATAATCTTGAAAGGAAAGACGGAAGTAAGTCTCTGATCAGGGGTACCCCATGTTGTAAAGATGTTGTTTATTTTTAATTCTTTACTATCTATATGTAGTTGTACAAAGGCGTTGCCACTTAACAAAGCAGTGTATGAATATAATATATCTCAATCAATGTCACCCCTTTCAACATTCTCATCTATCCCTCCCCTGCTCACCCCTTCCCTCACTCTTCTTAATTTTTTAGGATATACATTGGATTTTTTGACTGCATTTCTTCCTTTTTCTTGGCTTGTCCACCCCTTGACCCTATACCATCTCTTTCAACCACGTTTTGGTGTTTTATTTTGCTTTACCTTTGCCTTTCTAAGGAATTATACTCTTTGAGTTCTCCTGTGGATCCATGGTATTTCAGTTAATACCTTTGTATATGCTTGCCTATCACCCAACATATTTTGATATGGGAAAAGGTGGGGGAAATGATGGTTAGTGAAGTAAGTCAGTCCCAGAGAGAGAAAGGATGTCTGTTTTCCCTTATATGTGGAAGCTAGATTTAGCTTATAAATTTATAAGTAAGGATGTACAATACTGGGAATGTAGATCTCTATTGTTGTCAGTCAAAAGCAAAGGACCAAAGAGGTTCTTGGGTGTTTCTGTGGCTGAACAGCTTAGAGGTGAAGGGATTTCTTTTGTCACAGACCCGTGGTAACCACGGGCTACAGCCCCTAACACAAATGGCTGTGCCCTTTCCCCAGCCCATGTCTTCATCCCCTCAGACTTGGATTCCTTTACAATAAATTAAACAGAACAAAGAGAATCTCCAAAACCCTTTTCAGAGCCATATAAACAGCTTCATCTGAAGTCAGCTAATTCTTGCTTTCAACACTTACCATCAGCAGGAAGATGGTTCTTAAAAATATTAAAGAAGATTTTGCCTTAATGTAACACTGTTTCTCATTCCTCCCAGGACACTGCTTAGTGATTGCTACCAAACTGTTCCCTTGATTAGGGGGCTCCCATTTTCATAGTCTTCCTGGGGTTAGTCCTTTGTTTAATAGAGAATAACTTACATGCACAGCGATGCTCCCAGGGCCCTCCTGACATTGCTATTCAGAGGTAAGAGAAGCAAAGGAATGAGGCTTACAACCCATTTAAAAAATGAGAAGAAAGAACAGAAAATCAGGGAGCCACACTCTTATATTCATAGCCATGATTAACATTGTCAACAGTCTCATCTAAGAAGGTCTTTTTTTTTAATCTCATAGGACAAGTCTAGGTGCCCTTGAATCAAAGTCAAAAAGGTCCCAGCAGACAGTAAGAGGCCTTGTCCTAGTGATGTAGATTGGTACTAATCATAGAGCACACGGGGAAGAAGCAAGCAGTGAAATGAACATATGTAAGGCAACAGTGGATATTATCATAATTCCTAATTATAACTGTTTAGAGGTCTCTCAAGAAGTATAATTAAGTTTAACATGCCAAGTGATAAAGAAAAACTATGAATCCACCTCTGTTTTCCTCTGCCACCCACCAATAACTCTACTCTCTTCCTGGATGATCTGTAAGATTCTCTCCATTTGCTCTGCTTTTTCATGAGGAACACTGTTAAAGGGAGTTTATTCCACAGAGAACAAGGCAGTTGGCTGGAAATCCCACAGCTTTTATAGCCAACCCAGGAGTTCAGTTAAAGGGCTCTAGATTACATCCTCAAGACGGAAAAAAAACACTGAAATATGCTGGATTAAGAAATGACAGTTCTTGTGAGGTAAGTATGCTGGCTCTTTGATACAATCAAAACAGAGCAGAAGGAAGAGACTAGAACTGACCTCCAAGGAACTAGAGATGTCTTTGAGTTGTCTGAAGATCCTGTAGTTGCTCCTTGGGTTGCTACTTTTTCTATTAGTTTAACAAACTCAGAATAATACATCAGACATAAAGAAGCAAAATCATTGCTCACTCTGCTTTTCCCATTCAAGGGATTGGACCTTCCTAACCAATAGCCATGAGGAAAGATCCTAGGACCTAAATAGAAGGTCAAGGAGAGGAGGGGAAAGGAGGGGAGGGGGAGGGGAGGGGAGAGGAGGGAAGTGAGATACTGGGAGAGACAGAGAGAAAGCTTAATGAAAACAACCATTCAGACTCTAAAATCCAAGACAATGGGCCATCTAAGAGCAGGACACTATGCTTGCTTTTGAAGTAGATTTCCCTGGAGTTAAAAGTAATTGCTAATATGAAAAGCAAATGAAACATTCAACCAGAGAAAAAGCCTCTATGCCCGACATGTATTCAAAATCAGAATTGTTTTCTGAAGGTGACAGGACTTGAAGCCGGTTCCATAGAATTTATCACTATGAGTGTCTGAGAGGAGGATGGTAGAAAACCTTGAGAATTCTCATGAACCAGTGCTCACATCATGGCCAGTGCCCACATCAGATGACTTCACAGTGTGTGTGTACAACAGTAAATCCTATGTATACATGTAAACATGTATACATATAGTGTGTGTGTGTGTGTGTGTTGAGTGGGTGTTGTGTGTGTTGTGTGTGTGTGTGTGTGCCAATACCGCAGCTTGAACGCAGGGCCTCACACTCTTGCTTGGCTTTCTCACTCACAACTAACACTCTACCACTTGAGACACACCTCCACTTCTGGCTCTCATCTGGTTAATTGGAGATAAGAGACTCTTGGATTTGTTTCCCTGGGATAGCTCTGAACTATCTCAGATCTAGCTTCCTAAGTAACTAGAATTACAGGTGTAATCCAGGGCACCCAGCTAGAGTAACCATATGTTCTAAAATCCTAATCTTTGAAGAGAAACACAAGGGTAGAGGAACATAACTGAGCATGTTATAAACACAGATTAGAGGCTAAGTGAATACAATACACTTTGTACCAGCTGTGCCTACAATTGTGGATAGACCAGACTGAGGTATAAGAGGAAGAAGATGACCAAAGAATCTTGTTTTCAATGTAGAACTACTTTCCAAACTATGGAAAGATAAGGCATTTGAATTAAAGGCCACCCTTACAAGGTGGCCACCAAGAGATTAAAATGACTTACATAGCCCCTGAGCACATGGAAGTCAATGTCAGGAAAAAAAAAAAGGAAGAAACTTTGAACAAAGGGAATGAAATTAGCACAGAGCTAAAGGGTCAATCTGGAAAGACATATGAGAAGTAGAATTGGAGGACCTAGTGACAGTTAAGGTAGAAGGGAAAAGAGAAGATGGCGAGGGCCAAAGAGCGAAGCCTAGGAAACTCCCAAGTGAGAGAGTCCATGGAGATCTGCCCTCCTCCTCAGTCATTCCCACACTTCCTATGAGAAATAAAGAGACAGGGTTTGCAGAGCAGAGCCTACATTTGAGCTTATCATGTGTTACTGAACTACTTGTGGGGCAAATCACAGAGATGTCAAGAAGATGAAAAGCATCCTTCAGAGGCCATGAGGAAGGTGTAGGCTAGTAATTTAGGTTCAGGATTCATGGACATTAGGGTGGCCTTCAAGATTAGCTAGAAAAAAGGACATCAATGGAAGGAAAAGGGGGCCAGGGCCAGATACTTACAGTGTTAGCACTTTATAGGCAACCCAAGGAAATGAATCTTTAAAAATACAATACGAAAAGAAGGTGACCAGGTGTCAGGGAAGCCAGAGGAAAAAGAAAAAGAGTTCACTTCCGGGGAAGGGAGGGTCTTTTAAGGCTTCTCAGGATAGTATTCAATGGGCGTAGACAAAATCTCAAAAGGATGGAGAACACGCATTTCTAACTTTATCGTGGTATGGTGAGACAGGGTAGGTCATCTAAAATCTATAAGCTGGAGTCTTTATTTTTAAGCATCCACAGGTAGAAGCTATCTGTTCTCCTATAAGCTCCAACCATCTTTCTCTCTTTGTGTTGCTGGCTGACATCCAAACTGAGATTGAGACATCTGGGCTAGAAGTAAGCCCATCCCCTACTGGAGTGGCTCCACCGGCAGGCTCTCATCACCAAGACTAATGCGGGAAGATCTGGTTTGTAGGTGGATTTTTGTCCTTCAGGGGCCATTTATCCACCTGAACTCCCTGTGTGGCACTTCCTCATTTATCCAATTGAAGTACACTTGGTTCAACAGACGTCAAGGTGGTACTTCAGCCACCTGTGAGCTGAAGAAAGGATGGTAAGACTTAACGAGTACACTGAAGTGCCCCCCAGAAATTTCCCAAGGCACTCTATGCCATCCACTCCCTACCTTAGCCTGTACCTATTCACCCACCGATGGCCCGCCATCCTCCCCACCCCCATCTCCCTACCACCACCATGCACATGCACACTTCTCTGCAGGAGACCCATCTTTCCTTCTTTATGACTTTTTTTTCTGTCCTATCTATTTAACCCTATTCACTTTCAGACATCTCCATCTCTTTAGCTTACAAGGTTTGTCTGCATACAGTGAGAAAAAGAATTATCTAATCTAGAAACTACGTTAACTTGGAGGGACCAAAAGTCAGCAGGATTAGGTGAATAGCTGAAGTGGCAATTAGCAATGTCCCCTGACACTGTAGGATGGGGCTGAAGGAGGACACAACAAAAGAAGAAATCATGGTGATCCTGGAGCTTGGGAAGGTAGAAAGCATGAGAAGAACACAGACTCAGATTCTATACAACTCCCTACAAAATGCTTGCTTCTAGGTGAACTGTCACTGGGAGATACCAGATTGTTTTGTGTTCACTAAACCCTGGGAAATAAGACTAAATTTCTCTTATGAAGAAAGAAAAATCATTCAAGCTCCTCGTTTCCAGAGAAAGAAATGCAGCCACTGTAAAAGGAATCATTCAACCCTCAGTAGCTCTGTCAGCACAAGGTATATTCCCAAAGTCCACAGGCAGAAAGTTGCTGGGCTTTTGAAGCTGCCCTCCCCATTTCCAAGCTGTCAAATGTCATATTGCTCATTTCCTTGCAGAGAGTCGACAGGGCAAGCAGGAAGAGAAAAGCCTTGGGGGATGAATGGGAGATTCTTATGAAAAAGAGTAGGGGGCTATCATCCCACGTTGAGCTTTGTCCCTGCCTACTTGGACTCTGTTTTGGCAAACAGAGAGGGTCACATGGCTCCTCCTCCCCTGTCACATGACTCCCCAGTGCTTGATCTCATCGTCTACCATTGCCAGTTGGAAAAGGCAAAGGTCAGAGAGAAGACTCCTGCAAGCTTCCTGCTTGACTCTAGAATCAACGAGACACATGCAATCTCCAGTAATTTGGGGTCTGCTGTTGTTGCAACTGGGAGTCTAGAGTTATAACCTTCTTGGAGGAACCTTCTAGGATCCCCTTCCAGATTGCCCGGGAAATTTTAAAGACAAGCCCCACAATAATACAACCTGGAAAGACCCTGCCTCCCCGATATGCTAAATGCTCCCAACTGCCTTGCTCTTCTGCAGTCCTCAGCCAAATTACCAAGATGTTGGCTCCTTCTGTTACAACTTGTGTAGAACTCTCTCCTCAAAGCCAAATGTTAAAAAGCCTCATCCATATTAACCAGCTCCCCTTGGGAAGTGTTAATTGGAAAACCACATAACGAGATATCTGTTTGCTAAAGACAACATCTAACCGCGGCAGAAATTACACAGCAAATGGGCGACTATGAAAACAGATCCCAGGTGCCCTAGCGACCCCCAAACATGGACACCTGACCTCAGAACAAGCACTCAGCTCTGCAGCTGGGTACTGTGGAGCCAAACAGGGCCTCTCTGTGTGTAGATCCAACCCTAGAAATAAGAAGGATGGCACCCCCTCTCTTAGCATGATCTCAACTGGAGTGCTGAACAGACTCCCAGAGCAGCCTTGATGTCCCCTGCTTCTGGATCCATGATGCCTGTGGCCCCTGCACCACCTCCCTTACTGCAGCACCACGCTTTTGAGCTTCCAACTGCAGCCTGCTCCCACTCCCACCACTAGAGGGCAACAGAGTCCCATACCTCTGGCTCCTCAGACTAGTTCGATCACCTGAAATCTGTACACAAACACCCTGCCTTATTGAAGGCTACGGTAATTATCCATGAAAAGGAAGAAGCCAGAATTCACCACTTTGTGAGGTTGTGCGGGCTCAGATTTAGCTCGTCAATTTGTCTTTTCAAGTTGACCCAGATCTGTAAACCTTTTGAGTTCTGGCTCTTCAAGGGTGAGTTTCCCATCTTGACACTGGTAGTCACAAACTCACCACCCATGTTTGTCTGAGACTGAAACAATGTGCCCAAAGATATCCACCATGGCCACCATCGGTGTCGTCTTGAACCATGGACATCTTTGTGCATCTATGACTCATGGGCACCACATGACCCATGGAACCAAGCAAAGAGGATGTTTCCTTGAGCAAAATGGAAAGAAGAAAAGCCATACTAAATCGTATGATCAGAAAGACCCTTGGGGACAAACAGCAAGTTAAAGATGGGGGTGAGGGAGGAAGCAAATCTTCATTGTCAAACTTAGGGGTTTTTTTGTTGTTGTTGTTCAGTACTGGTGTCTGAATCCAGGGCTTTGCATTTGCCAAGCAATTGCTCTACCACCTGGGTAAAACCACCATTTTGCTTTCCTTAATTTTCAAATATAGTCGCACAGTGATGCCCAGACCAACCAAGACCACCATCATCCTACTTACACTTGGATGGCAGTCACACACCACCACAACCAGCTTTTTTATTGATCGAGGTAAGATCTCATGATGTCTTGAACTGCACACCTCCAGATCTCCATTTCCCCAGGAGCTGGGCCTCTGTGCATGAGCTATCATGCTCAGCCAAGGTCAAACAATTTAACAGTGGAGTCAGGTGTAGGACTGAGTTACCCAGGTCCATGGTATAGTCTTTGCTGCTCCCCAAGCGTAGCCAATGAGGCTCTTTGTGAAATCCAAAAGGCAGATGGAGACAGAAACTTGAAAAACTAACAAAGCATAGTTGTTTTCACTCTGTCCTAGGCAATCAAAGGTCTTTAGGTCATAAGGAAGATATGAGCCACTGACATTCAGGAGAAGGCTTGTTTACATAGTTCTAATTAGCCAGTTAGTGTAGAGATTCAGGCAAAGCAAAGTGGCCACAATGTAGAGTCCCATACTAACCTAGGGACTGAGGGAACATGATTCTTTATGTTTTGTAATACTGGGGGAGAAATTTAAGAACACATTGCTTCTCTCTCCTTAGAAGAAATAGGTCGCCCTGAAAAGCAGAAAGCAAAGATTCCCTATTACATCAATTTCCATGAGCAGTTTGGAGAGAGATTTTAGTTCAGAGATTCACCTACATATTCCTAAAGCCAAACTCCTAGGCTTACCTTTTCCTTTACCCGCTTGCTGTGGGGCCGATCTTGTCCGCATCCATTACAGCAACACAGACCACCCATCCCCCAGCAAGGTCTTCTTTAGCAGTGTTTGAGTTGGGATCAAGTGATAGTTGAGCTGGTACCCTTGGTATCCTCTCAGAGTGGACAAAATAAAGGTACAAGGACGTGCCATGATAACCCACCTGTTGAGCTAGAATGTTCAGGTTTTCTCAGGCTTCTGTGCATTACCTGATGTTAAACAACAGCCAACATTTACAGCACTTCCTCCTTGCTATTAGAGCTCATGTAAGCCATCACTGGAG